ATATTTAATATTAAGGTAAATAAATGGCGACGAAGGTGTGGCTATTGGGGGAGGCTGGAGGCCACTAAAAAAAAAAAAGTGTTGTAGTGAACATGTAGTACTAGTGTTGCAGTGAACATTTAGTACTAGTGTTGTAATGAACATGTCGTACTAGTGTTGTAGAGAGCATGTAGTACTAGTGTAATGAACATGTAATACTAGTGTAGTGAACATATAGTACTAGTGTAATGAACATATAGTACTAGTGTTGTAGTGAACAATTAGTACTAGTGTTGTAGTGAACATGTAGTACTAGTGTTGTACTGAACATGTAGTACTAGTGTTGTAGTGAACATGTAGTACTAGTGTTGTAGTGAACAATTAGTACTAGTGTTGTAGTGAACATGTAGTACTAGTGTTGTAGTGAACAATTAGTACTAGTGTTGTAGTGAACATGTAGTACTAGTGTTGTAGTGAACAATTAGTACTAGTGTTGTAGTGAATATGTAGTACTAGTGTAGTAGTGAACATATAGTACCAGTGTTGTAGTGAACATGTAGTACAAGTGTAATGAACATGTAATACTAGTGTAGTGAACATATAGTACTAGTGTAATGAACATGTAGAACTAGTGTAATGAACATATTACTAGTGTAGTGAACATGTAATTACTAATTGCTAGTAGACATGTGGAAGCTAGTGTTGTAGTGAACATGTAAGTTTCTGGTATTGTAGTAGACATGTAGTACTGTAGTGTTGTAGTAGACATGTAGTACTAGTGTTGTAGTGAACATATAGAACTAGTGTTGTAGTGACATATGTAGTACTAGTGTTGTAGTGAACATGTAGTACTAGTGTTGTAGTGAACATGTAGTACTAGTGTTGTAGTGAACATATAGAACTAGTGTTGTAGTGAACATGTAGTACTAGTGTTGAGTGAACATGTAGTTCTAGTGTTGAAGTGAACATGTAGTACTAGTGTTGTAGTGAACATATAGAACTAGTGTTGTAGTGAACATGTAGTACTAGTGTTGTAGTGAATATGTAGTACTAGTGTTGAGTGAACATGTAGTACTAGTGTTGTAGTGAATATGTAGTTCTAGTGTTGAGTGAACATGTAGTACTAGTGTTGTAGTGAACATATAGAACTAGTGTTGTAGTGAACATGTAGTACTAGTGTTGTAGTGAATATGTAGTTCTAGTGTTGTAGTGAACATGTATTACTAGTGTTGTAGTGAACATGTAGTACTAGTGTTGTAGTGAACATATAGTTCTAGTGTTGTAGTGAACATGTATTACTAGTGTTTAGTGAACATGTAGTACTAGTGTTGTAGTGAACATGTAGTACTAGTGTTGTAGTGAATATGTAGTTCTAGTGTTGTAGTGAACATGTATTACTAGTGTTGTTGTGAACATGTAGTACTAGTGTTGTAGTGAATATGTAGTTCTAGTGTTGTAGTGAACATGTATTACTAGTGTTGAGTGAACATGTAGTACTAGTGTTGTAGTGAACATGTAGTTCTAGTTTTGAAGTGAACATATAGTTCTAGTGTTGTCGTGAACATATAGTTCTAGTGTTGTAGTGAACATATAGTTCTCGTGTTGTAGTGAACATATAGTTCTAGTGTTGTAGTGAACATATAGTTCTAGTTTTGAAGTCAACATATAGTTCTAGTGTTGTAGTGAACATATAGTTCTAGTGTTGTAGTGAACATATAGTTCTAGTGTTGTAGTGAACATATAGTTCTAGTGTTGTAGTGAACATATAGTTCTAGTGTTGTAGTGAACATATAGTTCTAGTGTTGTCGTGAACATATAGTTCTAGTTTTAAAGTGAACATATAGTTCTAGTGTTGTAGTGAACATGTAGTACTAGTGTTGTAGTGAACATATAGTTCTAGTGTTGTAGTGAACATATAGTTCTAGTGTTGTCGTGAACATATAGTTCTAGTTTTGAAGTGAACATATAGTTCTAGTTTTGAAGTGAACATATAGTTCTAGTGTTGTCGTGAACATATAGTTCTAGTTTTGAAGTGAACATATAGTTCTAGTGTTGTAGTGAACATATAGTTCTAGTGTTGTAGTGAACATATAGTTCTAGTGTTGTCGTGAACATATAGTTCTCGTGTTGTAGTGAACATATAGAACTAGTGTTGTAGTGAACATATAGTTCTAGTTTTGAAGTGAACATATAGTTCTAGTGTTGTAGTGAACATATAGTTCTAGTGTTGTCGTGAACATATAGTTCTAGTGTTGTAGTGAACATATAGTTCTAGTGTTGTAGTGAACATATAGTTCCTAGTTTGGAAGTGAGCATATGGTTCTAGTTTGGAAATTGACATATAGTTCTAGTGTTGTCGTGAACATATAGTTCTAGTTTTGAAGTGAACATATAGTTCTAGTTTTGAAGTGAACATATAGTTCTAGTGTTGTCGTGAACATATAGTTCTAGTTTTGAAGTGAACATATAGTTCTAGTGTTGTAGTGAACATATAGTTCTAGTGTTGTAGTGAACATATAGTTCTGGTGTTGTAGTGAACATATAGTTCTAGTGTTGTAGTGAACATATAGTTCTAGTGTTGTAGTGAACATATAGAACTAGTGTTGTAGTGAACATATAGTTCTAGTGTTGCTTAGTGAACATATAGAACTAGTGTTGTAGTGAACATATAGTGAAACACCACGACTTAACCCTAGCAGAAAGAACACTTCTTGCACTTCCACCAAGACTGGGAGGGATGGGACTAACTAATCCAGAGGAGATTGCTGACTCTGAACATCAAAATTCACTTAAGCTCACGGCAGCCCTCACTGACCACATAATCGCCCAGAATGCAACAGGGGAAGTGGACACCAGCGAAGTTAATAAGATCCGTAGGTCCATTACAACAGATCGGCAGAACTGCCAAAATGACATGTTGCAGCAACTATTGCTGCAGGTTCCAGAAAATTTGACAAAAAAAGTAGCTATAGCGCAGGAGGTGGGCGCCTCGAACTGGTTAACTACGTTACCGATAAGGGCAAATGGTTTCAGCCTTAACAAACAAGAATTTACAGATGCCATTGCTCTAAGGTACGGTTGGCCAGTAGATGGTTTGCCCTCCCAATGCGTGTGTGGCTATTCCTATGATGGCGATCACGCCATGGTTTGCAAGAAGGGGGGCTTCATATGCATGAGGCATGACGAGGTAAGGGATCTCACAGCAAATATGTTGAAGGAAATCTGTCGGGACGTCATGGTAGAACCGACCCTCCTTCCACTGGATGGCGAGATCTTCCAACACAGGACTTCAAACACATCTAACGAAGCCCGTGTGGACGTCAGTGCTCGAGGATTCTGGACGCGGGGACAGCGAGCTTTCTTCGACATCAGGATTTTTGATCCCATGGCCGTTTGTCACCGTAACCTAGCTCTCGATGCTGCGCATAGGAGGAACGAGAACGACAAGAGAAGGGCATATGGGGAGAGAATTCAAAATGTCGATCAAGGCAGCTTCACTCCTCTAGTGTTCACAACCTCTGGTGGGATAGGCCCAAGTGCAAGATGTTTCTACGCTAGACTCGCGGAGCTGATCTCCGAACAGAAGCAGCAGCCCAGAAGTTATGTCACAGCCTGGATGAGATGTCGACTGTCCTTCTCTCTCCTTCGGTCGGCTTTGCTCTGCCTCAGGGGAACGAGAGCTTCTGCCCCTACTCCGACAACTGCTGCAGATATCGACTATGAGGCTACAGTCACTGAATGCCGCATGGATCTGCGGCTCAACTAATTTAACACAGATAGGATAGTTTCTTATGTATTAGGATATTTAATATTAAGGTAAATAAATGGTGGCGAAGGTGTGGCTATTGGGGGAGGCTGGAGGCCACGTTAAAAAAAAAAAAAAAAAAAAAAAAAGTGAATATAGAAAGTGAACATATAGTTCTAGTTTTGAAGTGAACATATAGTTCTAGTGTTGTCGTGAACATATAGTTCTAGTTTTGAAGTGAACATATAGTTCTAGTGTTGTCGTGAACATATAGTTCTAGTCTAGCAGATAGACACCTGAAATTTGGTACGTTAAGGCAGGTAGACCAGGAGAGGGTCGAGAGCTGTGTAGAGCCAAATATATATTATATCTCATCCAGTCCCCAACATCACCAACACTTGATGTATACTGTATATAAATGTTTACTCTCACCAACACTTGATGTATACTGTATATAAATGTTTACTCTCACCAACACTTGACGTATACTGTATATTAGTGTTTACTCTCACCAACACTTGATGTATACTGTATATAAATGTTTATTCTCACCAACACTTGACCTATACTGTATATTAGTGTTTACTCTCACCAACACTTGATGTATACTGTATATAAATGTTTACTCTCACCAACACTTGACCTATACTGTATATTAGTGTTTACTCTCACCAACACTTGACGTATACTGTATATAAATGTTTACTCTCACCAGCACTTGACGTATACTGTATATTAGTGATTACTCTCACCAACACTTGACGTATACTGTATATAAATGTTTACTCTCACCAGCACTTGACGTATACTGTATATTAGTGATTACTCTCACCAACACTTGACGTATACTGTATATAAATGTTTACTGTCACCAGCACTTGACCTATACTGTATATTAGTGTTTACTCTCACCAACACTTGATGCATGCTGTATATTAGTGTTTACTCTCACCAACACTTGACGTGTACTGTATATTAGTGTTTACTCTCACCAACACTTGACGTATACTGTAGATTAGTGTTTACTCTCACCAACACTTGACGTATACTGTATATTAGTGTTTACTCTCACCAATACTTGACGTATACTGTATATTAGTGTTTACTTTCACCAACACTTCAACATCATTCACTAACACAACACAAACATACAATAGCGTCAACCAAATAAAAAACATTAATACATTCTGCTTTGTTTAGCGAGAAATACATAAAAATACAGTACCATAGTATTATATTGACAGTTTATACAGAGTAAAGACATTCTCACAACCATTTAGTGTTGCCAGTGGTTCATTTGTTGTAGTCGATACTTGTGATTTCCGGCAAGAACCACACTAACTTGGCTCCTTCCGTACTGGTTGTGGTTGTTGGTGGATAACTGGGAGAGTTGTTGGTTGTATTCCAGGTTCAAAAGGTTGGAGTTGAGGTGTGAGTTTTGGTTGTAGTTCTGGTTGTTGTTGGTGGAGCCGTAAGTCTGTGAGTTGTACCTGTTGTTGTGGAGGTTGTTGGACTGGTTGTTGTGGTTGTATTGGTTGGTACTCGTGCGATACTTGGACTGGTACTGGTTGCTGTTCTCCTGGTTCTGTTGGTACTGGTTGCGGTTCTCCTGGTTCTGCTGATACTGATTCTGCTGGAATTGGTTTTGGTTTTGTTGATACTGGTTGCGGCTCTCCTCCTGCTGGTTCTGCTGGTACAGGTTTTGGTTCTCTTGGTTCTGGTTCTGTTGGAACTGGTTGATGCTTTCCTGGTTCTGCTGGTACTGGTGCTGCTGTTGTCTACTCTGTGAATAATATTGGACAACATTTTCTTGGTTCTGGAGCTTGTCGCGAGTAGACAGTTGGTTCTGGAGCTGGTCGGGGCGGTTCTGTTGGCTTTGGAACTGGTCGGGGCGGCTTTGTTGGTTCTGAAACTGGTCGGGGCGGTTCTGTTGGTTCTGGAACTGGTCGGGGTGGCTCTGTTGGTTCTGGAACTGGTCGGGGCGGTTCTGTTGGTTCTGGAACTGGTCGGGGCGGCTCTGTTGGTTCTGGAACTGGTCACGGGTAGACAGTTGGGTTTGAAGCTGGTCCGGGCGGTTCTGTTGGTTCTGGAACTGGTTGCGCCGGTTCTGTTGGTTCTGGAACTGGTCGAGGCGGCTCTGTTGGTTTTGGAACTGTTCGTGGGTAGACAGTTGGTTCTGGAACTGTTCGTGGGTAGACAGTTGGTTCTGGAACTGGTCGAGGCGGCTCTGTTGGTTCTGGAACTGGTCGGGGCGGCTCTGTTGGTTCTGGAACTGGTCGGGACGGTTCTGTTGGTTCTGCAACTGGTTGCGGCGGTTCTGTTGGTTGTGGAACTGGTTGCGGTGGTTCTGTTGTTTCTGGAACTGGTCGCGCCTTTGCTGGTTGTATTGGCTTTGGCTCTGGAAGTTTTCATGGGTGGATTGCTTGGTAACAGTGGCCTGGAAGCCAGTGTCGGGAGCTACAGAGTAGTCGACGACGCGGAGAGAACCATCAGGGTCCATGACGCTGTACTGGCCCACCACTACGTCTCCTCGACGCTCCTCCCGGGCAGACTTTTTGTCCCCTGTTGACCTGGCGTCTACCTCGTAGGCCCACATGTACTCTGGGTCCTGCAGGAAACACAACATTTTCTTTAACTGAACCTTAACTATATGTTATACAAGAAATGGTAACGTTTATAACCAAATGTAAACTAACTCAAGAGACTTTGAAAACTAACATAGACGAATATAATATTTGGCAATTTTAAGAGGAAAGTTGACTCACGGGGTCGTTGTAGGCGACTTGGTCGTTGCTGTAGGTTCTGGCCAACTCCTCAGAACGGTGCTTGAAGGCCTCGGATAAGACCTGGTGGTTGTCAAGGAGCTGTTTAGGAGGTGTGAGGCCTTGATCCAGCTGCACCCCTCGTGAGTCTAACACGTAGGAGGCGTCTTGTGCCCACGCCTGGGACCACACGCCCACACACAACACAACAGTTAGTTGTATCTGTCAAATATGGTGATTGTTTCAACTGATGCATGAAATGTTTTATGAATATATATATTATACATCTGAATACTATTACTAAATTCAAAAGTCAGTTATTCAATCGACTTCGGCATGACTGAAAATTGAATTATTCTCAATATCATTAACTGTTTCGTCTATATAGAGTGACATCCGTGTTGTGTGACGTAGAGGTCCACCTTAAAAGAATATAAAGTAATTAACTGAGTCCAGGATTATTAAATAAAGATGCTCCTCTTCTCTTTAATAAAGATCTTTTACGCTGTTAAAGCTACTTTAAGCTCATGATGTCTTACCTTCATGTTGGAGATATGAGAGAAGAATGACATATATACCCCTACTGGTCCGCCTTATATACCAGTCTGCCTGTAACACAACACCCCGCTGAATAAACCAGCCTCCTAACATATACAAGGTCGACTGACATACAATACAGTCCTCAGTACTTGATAGTGACGGAGTGTGTTGAAGGTGCGAAGAACGAGTGTAGGGTGAGGCACTGACAGCGAGGAACTTAATCCAGCTGCTGCTTCACGATTTTATCAATAAGGCGTCAACCATACCCACGCTCGGGAACATAATAATAACAATAATATTGGTAATAATATATGAAAAATATTAGTACACGTAGTAGTAATAATAATGATATACGGTAAGATACTATGACTAGTAGTAGTAGTAGTAGTAGTAGTAGTAGTAGTAGTGGTAGTGGTAGGCGGCGGCCAGCGCGGCGTGGGTGTCGTGGACCGTCCCTCCTGATCTAAAGTGTTATTGGTGGGGACATACTCGTTGTGTGGGAGTGGGAATTTGACAATGTGTCCGTGAATATCGGATGTCACCCTAAGCATTGCCACCCAAGGTTTCTTCTCATCCCTTACGGCATAAATTGTAAATATTCCGTGTGTTCACCGGCGTTCACCAAGTGAGTGGTGACCTGTGCTGGGTCAGTGGTAGGATAATGAGAAGGCTCGGCGCCAAGGTCAGTGTCGTTAGGCCTACTGTGACAGGGGTGGTCCCGAGACTATCGCCCCTATGGGGCCGAGAGTGCTGCCCATGCGGTCGCCCCCACCCCCCCACCACCATAGTAACGGACTCTTAATGTAGGGTCTCGACGAACCTAGTGAGTATACATAACTGATATTACACCAGTGAGACCATATAAATAGTGGTTATTTGTGCCAAGGAAATATAAACTAGTGCCTGGTGTGACAAACTCTTGTCCATAGTGTATCATTCTGATGTATGGATGGTCGCTATTAGGGGGGGTAGCCTACACACCCACGCGCGCACGTATGCCCCTACTACCTGGACACACCAGTCCAGCCTGTCACCTCTCCGCCCTTCCCTCATAAGAACCAGTATAATCTTGTGCCTGGGACTAAATCAGATGTCCGGAGGCAGACGTTACCGTCGCCCAAGGTGCTGGTCACTATGCCTGGTAACATTCCTTGCTGCGTCTGTGCTAGCCCGAACCAAAACTGCACAAATTGTGTTTGTGCGAGAAATAACCGACCATGTGTGAATTGCAGGAAGCTAGACCAGTGTCGGAACCCACGTCGCAGGGAGCCGACACAGGCGGCCACAGTGGATATCGCCGGGAACCAACTACCCGATGATATCCGAAATGATAGCAGTGAGTCTACTCAACCCGATAATGTAGTACTAATAAATGCTGCTCCCTCAGTAGCAGGTGTCCACGAGGAGAATGAGAGACAGCCGCCTCAGTGGAATGGCATGTCGATGGAAAATGCAGGCGTATGGGTCAAAGAAACCTACTCAGAAATTGTCAAGTGGTCGCCCGCTAACTTATTTGAACCACCCAAGTGTGCGGCCACCAAAGAAATGATTCGGGAGATGACTCACTTCATGACTGATTACACTCAGGACCGCTTCCTCGCCCCCCTAGCTCTTCAAATACTGGCAATAATACCACATCTATTTTGTCAGAGGACACACACAAAGGCTAAGCACAAAGAAAATGTGGCAGCAATGAAGAGAAGGTTGACAATGTGGCAGACTGGGGCCCTAGATGATCTCCTATGTGAAGCAAGAACACTGCAGGAGAGACTAAAATCTACGGGTGACGGAAAGCAAAACACCGATGACGTGGCAAGACAATTTGGAAACAAAATGCGTGTGGGAAAAGTGTCTCTCGCGGTAAGATCTCTCACACATGAATCCTCCGGTGGAGTGATGCCAATAAACAGAGCGACATTAAAACTATTGAAAGAGAAACATCCCCCTGCAAGCGAAGATGAAGGCATCAGGCTCCAGGGTGCCTATATCCCACCAAACGCTGTCCTGTTCGAGAAAATAACAGGAGAGATGGTGTGGAAAAAGGCACTGAAGACTCGAGGAGGAGCCGGCCCTTCAGGTCTGGATGCAAACGGTTGGAGAGTCATCCTCAGCACAAACAAGTTTGGCCCTGTAGCAAGCGATCTCTGCACTGCCATTGCCACCCTTGCAAGAAAGCTTGCATCCTCTTGCTGCCATCACCTCCAGGCTCTGACGGCCTGCCGCCTTATTCCTCTGGAAAAGAAACCAGGATGTAGACCTATAGGGGTGGGGGAAGTGCTGAGGCGGATCATCGGAAAGTGTATAATGGAGGTGGTAAAGGATGATGTCAGGGCAGCAGCAGGGAACCTACAAGTGTGTGCTGGCCACCAGGCTGGTGGGGAGGCGGCCATTCACGCCATGAGATTGATATTTGAGCAGCGTGATTGTGAGGCCGTTCTCCTGGTGGATGCTTCAAACGCATTCATACTTAACCGCAAGGCGGCACTGCACAACATCAAGATCAAGTGTCCTAGCTTTGCGATGTATGTTGAAAATTCGTATAGGAATCCTTCAGACCTCTACGTAGTAAACAACAAGGCTCTACGAGGTGATACCATCCTACAGTCGACCGAGGGAACAACACAGGGAGACCCCGTTGCAATGGCAATGTATGCAATAGGCCTATCAGTGCTCCAACAAGAAATAAAGTATGAAACAACTGGGGTCAAACAAGTGGCATATGCTGATGACCTCACAGGAGCAGGAAAAGTGGAGGACATCAAAAAGTGGTGGGACCTGGTAACATCGCGAGGTCCACAAATAGGGTACCACCCAAACGCCAGCAAATCCTTCCTCATCGTGAAGCCAGATCATTATGATCGGGCTGTGGAGGTTTTCGGCGAAAGTGAGGTCAAAATAACTAAGGACGGCCAAAGACATCTAGGCGCAGTAATTGGCACTACGGACTTCAAGACCCAGTACGTAGGGGGAAAGGTGAATGAGTGGGTTAGCGAAATCCATGCTCTATCGGAGATTGCTAACACAGAGCCACATGCGGCCTTTGCAGCATTCACACATGGAGTCAAGCATCGTTGGAACTACCTGATGCGTACCATCCCTGAGATCCGACCCCTCCTCCACCCTTTGGAAGAAGCAATCAGTGTCAAGTTCATTCCCAAACTAGTGAAACACCACGACTTAACCCCAGTAGAAAGAACACTTCTTGCACTTCCACCAAGACTGGGAGGGATGGGACTAACTAATCCAGAGGAGATTGCTGACTCTGAACATCAAAATTCACTTAAGCTCACGGCAGCCCTCACTGACCACATAATAGCCCAGAATGCAACAGGGGAAGTGGACACCAGCGAAGTTAATAAGATCCGTAGGTCCATTACAACAGATCGGCAGCACTGCCAAAATGACATGTTGCAGCAACTATTGCTGCAGGTTCCAGAAAATTTGACAAAAAAAGTAGCTATAGCGCAGGAGGTGGGCGCCTCGAACTGGTTAACTACGTTACCGATAAGGGCAAATGGTTTCAGCCTTAACAAACAAGAATTTACAGATGCCATTGCTCTAAGGTACGGTTGGCCAGTAGATGGTTTGCCCTCCCAATGCGTGTGTGGCTATTCCTATGATGGCGATCACGCCATGGTTTGCAAGAAGGGGGGCTTCATATGCATGAGGCATGACGAGGTAAGGGATCTCACAGCAAATATGTTGAAGGAAATCTGCCGGGACGTCATGGTAGAACCGACCCTCCTTCCACTGGATGGCGAGATCCTCCAACACAGGACTTCAAACACATCTAACGAAGCCCGTGTGGACGTCAGTGCTCGAGGATTCTGGACGCGGGGACAGCGAGCTTTCTTCGACATCAGGATTTTTGATCCCATGGCCGTTTGTCACCGTAACCTAGCTCTCGATGCTGCACATAGGAGGAACGAGAACGACAAGAGAAGGGCATATGGGGAGAGAATTCAAAATGTTGATCAAGGCAGCTTCACTCCTCTAGTGTTCACAACCTCTGGTGGGATGGGCCCAAGTGCAAGAGGTTTCTACGCCAGACTCGCGGAGCTGATCTCCGAACAGAAGCAGCAGCCCAGAAGTTATGTCACAGCCTGGATGAGATGTCGACTGTCCTTCTCTCTCCTTCGGTCGGCTTTGCTCTGCCTCAGGGGAACGAGAGCTTCTGCCCCTACTCCGTCAACTGCTGCAGATATCGACTATGAGGCTACAGTCACCGAATGCCGCATCGATCTGCGGCTCAACTAATTTAACACAGATAGGATAGTTGCTTATGTATTAGGATACTTAATATTAAGGTAAATAAATGGTGGCGAAGGTGTGGCTATTGGGGGAGGCTGGAGGCCACGTTTTAAAAAAAAAAAAAAAGTAGTAGTAGTAGTAGGGGGACTTCATATGCATGAGGCATGACGAGGTAAGGGATCTCACAGCAAATATGTTGAAGGAAATCTGCCGGGACGTCATGGTAGAACCGACCCTCCTTCCATTGGATGGCGAGATCTTCCAAC